GTGCCGTACGAAAATTAGTTTTATTACATTATTGTTACAAGAGAGCAGCAAACATAAAAAAGAAGGAGGAGAGATAACGACGATAGTTGTTTTATAAGAAAGAAGGAGCACACCACACTAGAAAACCCACCAACCACCCACTGTTTGCTTGAGTATAGAGAATTTGATTGAAGCACATCGACACAATAATGGTCATTTAGTGCGGTGCTGGGAAAAAGTAAAACAGACAGTCACAAATAAGAAAGGGAAAGTAAAGAAGTAGGACCTAAGTGCAGAAGATCAGGAGGTGGAGCTGTTTTAAAAAAAAAATGAGTAGGTGTTTTACGGCACTATCGGCCCAATGAAGTGTGGCTGTAGCCTACACAGGAACTATAAAGTACACCAGGAAGAATGATAAGGACGATAGAAGTTTGAAAGGAAAGAACTAGCAAACCACCACCTCAGAGTACCAGCTATGCACCGACAAAAATAGATGGATAACAAAAAACAGAACAAACAAACAAACAAACAAACAAACAAACAAACAAACAAACAAAAACCCCTCCCAAAAACCCAAATCAACCAAGAGAACGAAAAACGAACAAACCCAAAAACAATAACAAAACCAGGTAACAAAGGCAGAAAAGATATAATAAAACTAATTTGCGTACGGTACCAGCAGAATGCTCACTGCACCAACCACCTGTTTCACGTTTCATTCAAGGCATAGCTATAGCTATCTAATTTAGTACTACAATAAATACCCTTGTTGTTGTTGCGCCCCACCCACAAAACACAACGCCGCGAGAACGCATCTAACGTTGCTTTCGTATCACATGCACAGAGTGTATAGTTACCATTAGTATTACTTTGAAAAAAAAAATGCTGTTGGTTTATGCCTTCATTGACACAAATATAGTTATTAAACTACTGACATAAGTATAGCTATTAAAAACTTTTTTTGTTTGTTATATGGCCCTGTTGATGTTCGCATTGTTGTTATTGTTGTTGTTGCTGTTGTCATAGGTTTTCACTTTCTAATGAAGGTGTTTTGCATTCCTATCGACGCAATTTAGTTCATTGACTAGGACGTTGACTTCGACACAGTCTGTCAGGGTCAATCCGGGCTGAGAGAGATGCAACATCCCAGCAGAAAGACCGATCGAGATACCCGGTGGTACCCAATGGAAATCCTCCCTCCTCGGGAATCGAACTCAAAGTTCCAGGCGTGCTGTCGACAGCGAATCGCGTAACCATAGCACCCACAGCCGTCGATTCATTACTTTTAGTTCTATAGAAATACAAATTGATCATGTCCAATAAAAGATGATCACTTGTCAGACTGAAAAACGTAGGAATAAAGGAAGAGATAGAGAGAAAGACAGTTAGAGATTTAGAAAACAGAAAGAGAAAATGGAAGTGGACTGGACACGCCTTAAGAAAACCAAAAACAAACATTCCCCACCAAGGCTTAAGGTGGGTTCCACAAGTAAAGAGAAAGAAAATAAGGCCAAAAAGTACATAGAGAAGGGACTTTAGATTCCGACCACAAGGAGATATGGGAAAAACTGGACAGAGGTGGAGAATATAGCCTAGGACAGAAGTACGCAAAGATCTCCTTTTGGTGGTCTATACTTTCGTAAGGTGCGAGAAACGCTTAGTTTAGTTTTAGTACGGTTTTACGGCACTCGCAACTGCATAAGGTCATATTATGAGCGCAAAAGGGGTGGATGTCAACAGAGAAGTCCTTACAGGGAATCAGGTTTACTCTGCTCACCTCTCTAGCATCAACGACACAGTCTTCTTTCGACTGTCAAGGCACCCCGGAAACAGCAGGTCACAAGAGAGGGACAAACATACAAAAGAAGTAGAGGAAAATGACGACAGTAAGGATGAGGCAAGAAAAAGCTGCAGTTCCCCCATGTTGTTCCGGCGAGAAAATGGTGACAATAATACAATGACAATAATAATGAAAACAATAATAACAACAACAACCACAATTATAAACATGAGTAAATAATAATA